CCCTAAACCCCTAAATCCTAAGACCCTAAGACCCTAAGACCCTAAACCCTACACCCTAAACCCTACGACCCTAAACCCCAAAGACCCTAAACCCTAAACCCTGAAACCCTAAACTTGCACCTCGGCATGATGCCCACCAGCCTCCGAACCCTACTGCAGGGGTAGTTAGAATAGGGTTTTGGGGTTTAGGGTTTAGGGTTTAGGATCTTAGGGGTTTAAGGTTTAGGGTTTAGGATCTTAGGGGTTTAGGGTTTAGGGTTTTGGGTTTTAGGGGGTGATATTATACTTTAATTATACGGAGTAATTAGAGTTGGGCTGTGGGGTATATTATACTATACTTATAATAAGGCACCCTAACAGTAATATTGGTAGTTATCAAGGCCCCTTTCGTAAGGCCTACGCTGTGCACAACCCTGCCCCTGCCTGTCGCCAAGTTGCGGTGAAGCCTCGGTGTGGGAAAACTTCGGGATTCTTGGGCTTTCTGTGTTTTAGGATCTTAAACGTAGAGCACTTGCTTTGTAGGACTTATGTGCCCATTGATCCACCAAAAGTACACTGATAAAGTCTCAATATCACAATATCTTACGAGTTTCAGGGCCGGTAGTGAAGGACTACATCCCTACAGTAAGCATGAGCCGAGTAGAAGACCCCATGTTCGTCCGAGGTATGGATCAGCCAGGCCGTTTACCTCTGTACCTTTAAACCCTAAGCCCGATAATGTTACCCCTATGACCGATAACGTTACCCCTATGACCTAGATTGAGGTCTGGTGGGCACTACATGTACCTCATGGAGGCTCGGAAAAATACGATGCACCATTCGTGAACGAAAACGAGCAAATCTATCTTGTCTGCCTACCTACCTACCTGCCTACCTACCTATCTATCTAGATGTTAATTAGGCCATGTATACCTGGCATTCCAAAGTTTGTAGCTACTTCCCAAATTGGGCTGCTTCGGACCCTCGGATCAGGAATATAGCCCAAGCCCAGATCTTATGGTGGGCCTGCTTTTTCATCCAAAGGACTGTTAAAGTAAGAAACATTGAGCCACGCCAAGTCAGGGTTTACCGATACGGCTGATGATATGAATCCTGCATTACCCAGAATAAGAAACGTACCATCATTCCCATAGTTCAAAGTCCTTAATTAAGGAAATGCAGACTGGGTTGCTCTTTATTTCCTTGCTAAAATTATAACTTTTAGTACCCCTAATACCAAAAAAGGCTAATCCAAAAAGTCATAAAGCTATGAAGTGACTGTAAAGTTAAACCAAGTTAAGGTAATGCAGGATGTACATCATCAACAGTAGGGTTTAGCAGGCTTGCGGTGCACAAATGAAATTTCCACATCTGAGAACGGCGCTGAAGCGGGGTTCGCCTCCTCGCACAGGGCCACACGAGATGACAATACTGTAGGGGCCTTAATAATCAGAATAGGGTTTTGGGGTTCATGATACTGTAACTTACTATAATATACTATAATTATACTAATTAAGGAGCCCCCAAATAATGTAGGTACTTATTGAGGCCTTGTTTTACCTCGAAAAAACACTTAGGATCCCAAAGTTATATGTTAGGGCCCTAAAATCCTAGGAATTAGGCCCCTAAAACCCTGATAAGGATGGTCTTTTGGGGCCTCATTCCATATTGGTAAGGTATTTGGAGCCTCTAGGTTACCCGAAGGCCCCAAGGACTTGAAGGAGCCTTGCCTAGACCCTTAAATCTAGTACCTTTTATTGGATGACCTATTCTATGGTTAGGATCCTATTATGAGAAACTGAGGTCACCATTTTGCAGAATCCCATAGGGCCCCCGTTGCATCCCCTCTTACCCTAGGTACTTTCCAGGTTCATATTTGGGGGAGTATATGATTCTTAGGTACTTGGACCCTTAGGGTTACAGCAAGCCACAACTTGTCAAGAGAATTCTATCGACATCTCAATCAAAGATGATGCAACACTATAATTATGCGCCTTGGGCTGAACTTGGGAACTCATTTTTTTGGGATTCGGGGTTTAGGGTTTAGGGTTTCAGGGAGCAGGAGCCCATGAAGCGAGGGTTTTTCTTTCAGCCATAATGTGACTTGGAGGGTCGGGGGACTTAGTAAGTAGTTACTTTAATAGAGTGATAAGTACCGTAACCCCAATTAGGATCCCATTTAGGGCACTTATAACTCTACTTATTACCTACTTACTAAGTCCCCCGACCCTCCAAGGAAGCTCGATCCGGTCTGACTTCATGAAACTGCGTTGAATCACCAAAACAATCCCACCAATGTAGCCTAAGGCATAGGGTTTAGGGATTGGGGCTTAGGGTTTAGGGTTTATGGCACCCGTTTAACAAGGATTCCCTTTTCCTGGTGCTCATCCTCGACAAGGGCTTTCCGGAGGAAGGACACTCAGGTACGTACAGCTAGGTTGAAAAAGCGGCATTGGGCTCTGCGGGGAATGACAGGACAGGATGGAGGAGCATAGGTAGGGGCCTCAATAAGTAGAATGAGGCTTAAAGCATTAGTCTTATACTCAGGAACCCTGGAAGAAAAAGCATTGTTTTACAGTATGGGGTTCGCCCCAAACCTCTAACCCTCATCCTTATAAGGCAATGCAGGATTTATATCATCAACAGTACAGAGGCATTACCACTTGGAGGGCATTACCAGTTGGAGTAGGCTCTGGGGGAACATTATACGATGGTTGCAAAACGAAATCATGAAAACCGGTATTCTTTGTTGTTCAGGCCCAAGATAACTTGGGTTCAGGATCATACTCAGTAAACACGATGCCTAAACCCTACCTGAACCACAAATAACCTACCTTTTTAAATTTCTAAGGACATATATAAAGAAATCATGATAAGGAACCCTGAAATAGGTAAGTTATTTGGGGTTAAGGTAGCCCCTAAACCCCTAAACCCTCAACCCTAAAATAGCCTCAGTCTGAGACCAGGAGAACTGAACCCCAACCCGGGGTTGCAGAGTCTACTACACAATAAGTTCTATAGGAGCTTCAAGAAAAATCTACTTGAAAGCTTATCAAACTCTGTGAAACACATCCTTTTACAAACCCTATCCCACGCTCTCAGCACAGTAATCCCTTAACCCTAAGCCCAAGTGAGGCAGCTTTGCCTGGACTTGACGTTTGAAGAACTGCACGTCCTCGTTGTCATGCAGACCTGAGACATTCTTGCCCAACGGATTCCTTTAGGGAGTCCTTGCAAGGTTACCCCAAGGGTCCAAAGGACCCAATAATCAGGTACTTAGGTTTCGAATAGTAGTTATGTAGGTTACTATTTGGGAGAGTATATGATTATTAGGTACTTGGACCCTTAGGGTTAACTACGAGTGTAAGGATAATTAGTATGTCTATGAGGGCTTGGCGTCAAAGGTCCTTTAAGAGGATCCTTAAGCCGCTTCCTTCGAAGGGTTTACAATGCCTTGTAACGCTTCATAGGGTCTTTATGGGACATATATATATATATAGATATAGATGAGTACATACATATGTACATGTATATGTATATATATATATATATAGTAAGTTCATGTATATTTGTAATCATACACATACTATATAGGCACATGGACCAGAACGCTTATGGTCAGCAATAAGCCCTCTTAAATCTGGAAAACTAAACGTCAGAAACGTCGATCAATCTCGAGACAATGGCTTCAGACTCTCGGGTGTCGAATTAGGTTGCTTCACTTGTACATAATCTGGGCTTCATGGCTTAAGATCCGTTTAGGAGCCTGCGACTATCTATCTGTCTATCTATCTATCTGCCTATATATATATATATGTATATATATATATATATTATGATGAAACCAGCATGAACATTCCGGATTTAGTTGCTTAAAACGCACAAACGCA